TATATATATATATATATATATATATATATATATATATATATATATACCAATACAGTATAAGACATTAACTTCTTGAATTTCTTTCAATCTCTAGTGTTGAATTTTCATTCAAACATAGAACTGTAATCTAGATGATATCGGGAGATGATACAAGTGTCGGCGAAAGTCAAATGACGGCACCATGTGATGCAGTGGTGACAATGCTCGAACAGTTCGGTGATTTGTATCGACTCGGTGCAGCGCCAGCATTTTTGTTATCTTTCATCGAAGACTGTTTAAGCGATATCCTGACACGATCACTGTCATTGGTGGAACTGTTGGGTGGCACTGGTACCACAGGAAACAGCAAGAGCAGAACACAAGTTACACCGGCCACAGTCACGGCAGAACGTGTTGTGAGCGTAATTGGCTGTGATTATTCAGATTTACGCCTTATTGTCAATGTTGCTGCTGTATACTATCCTTCTGTTTTACAAGCTATTATATAAGCAGTACTTTATGATGTAATTCTTCCTCCGTTTCTTTCGAATTTTAAGAATTATTTTTTTTTAGGCTTCATTATCCACTGAAAGCAATGACTTAAAATGCTCAGAAAAAAGCCGAGGGAATTTAGCTGTCCACGGTTTGAACACGACGTTCAAACATCCCCAGTTTTCCCATGAATATTGTAGTCCTCTTTCATTCCTGATCAATTCAAATTAAATGGGCTCTTGTTCCACAACATGTCATCGCCTTACATTTTATCTTGCATTATCTGTTTAAAATGATTTTGTTTATATTTTTTCGGGAAATGTTTCCTTACTAATTTCTAACACTCAAAACTTTGCTCAGAATGACTGGTAATATTCATATACTTTTATCTCTTTTTATATGCTGGGAATTTTCTATATCGTTTATTCGTATTTTTCAATCTCTCATTCTTTTCCCATCTTGTCTCTTTCTCATGTATGTTTAATGATATGTTTTCTATTCCAGCTTTCTTTTACGGTCTGGACCTTATGTATGATAGCCGTACGACTTCCTCTAAGTAAAAATCAGTTGCCTTTTCGTCTCGAATATATATAAGGGATGAAGAGTATCCTCGAATGTCGAGGGAGTCCAATTCTTAACTCCATGCTAAAAGTATTTAACGTTTTGACAACAACAGATGACGGAAAATGCGTATGTCATTTACTGTCAGCTCGTTAAGCATGAAGACTGAGATTATCTGGGATGGAATTATTAGAGTATAATCTATGGTTCAGGCCAAATGTTCAAGTAATTAGCATTCCTACCTTTTAGGGTGGCTGGCCAATCCTTTGCCTTCTCTTTCACTCCCTCTTTCCAAAGATTTCTAGACCGGTGGTTCTCAACTCTTTTATGGCCAGGGACCACTTTGGCCCTTTTATTTGCAGCAGGGACCACAAGGTTCAAAAACAATAAATCCTATTAATATGGGACTGAACTTAAATCGGAACTTTTAATGTACTGGCTAAACTTAAAGTAATAATATAAAAAGGAAGGAAAAAGCCTCACGGATCATATTTCAGTTCTTGCGGACTACCGGTTGGGAACCATTACCCCAGAGTGTATGGGCCTGCAACAGAATTGAAGGCGTGTTTTCTTCACGCCGACCAAGCAATATGAACGGAGGTTGAGTTCGATAATTAGTTTTTGCTCAGCAAAGATATGGCGGCCAGCACTCCGGCTGGAGAATTATCTTGATAAAGCCAGTGTCGCTCCTCTCCAGTCTTTCCGTTATGCAACCAATACACGGTTGTCCGATCTGCTCTCTCCATCTACTGAGCGGACTTTTGTAAAGATCACACTCTTATCGTTTTACTTATCTCTCCTTCACCTGTTTCAGCTCACCTTCCGGACATTCTGGAACTAACTCGTCCCGAATCAAATTTTTTCTGAGGATTGGCTATGTGGCCGCATCAGGATTGAATGAAAAGTGTATCCTAAAGCCGTCTAGACGGCACGCTAATCATGTTGTGTACAGGAGCGAGGAGGAGAAAGGTTGAGAATAGAGGGATTATTGCTCAGGAGATCGGTAGAGCTGATTAATCTGAGAAATTTCTGTGATGCCTCACATTCGAGAACAAGGTCACAATATGATGTCATTTTGTGTGAATTTCACCATTATTATGGGGATTAGTGTTGCAGGAGTGATTACTGAATAGCAGAACTGTTGAATCGTTGTTTGCTGGAAACTGAGGAACAGTTGGAAAAGTAATGAAACTGTATGTGAAGAGGGTGAATGCAAAGGGTGGCGTCTTCACAATCACTGTAATCTTTTCTCACTTCATTTTGCTTTGTTTTCTGAAGTTTTTGAAACTTTTCCTGAAATTCATGTATGGTAAAGATAATAATGAGCTTGCCATTCATAGTTTTACCATAATATGGATATTGTGCTTAGGTCGATAGTAAAGATACGGTAGCAAGTTTGAAGGGAAGAATTGGTGGAGTTCTGGATTTGTTCCCAGATGCCATACGTTTGCTTTATCAAGGACATCCTCTTACCAGTAAGTTCCCCGCAATTTTTTCTTCTAGACTCTGGAATAGCATGTTCTTATGATTGCATATTTCTGGCAACACAATCTGGAATTAAAGCGGAGAACGCTGTTTGATGTTGGATTGCCCTTGATTTATGTTGTCCGGTATGTCCGCCAAACTTTTCTGTGCTAGATTTCATTAATTTAACATGACTTGCCTTTTGTTTCTTGCCGCAGTTGGCTTTATTTTAAAACGAGACTCCAAACTTTCTGTGCGATTTTAAATATTGAAGCGCTAGATTTAACCTAAATACCTAGCCATAGGAGTTTGAGTTGTAGATACAGAAGCAAGTCTCGGATCGTACGGCATCAAAGATAGCAGCCGAATCAGCGTTATTCACGTCCCGTCTATTGATACGAACTCGATAGTTTCAAAAGTTTTGAGCAGTTTTCTTCTTGACCGATGTCCTGCAAATAACTTATCAGCGATTGCCGAGAGATACCAAATCGTTAGCAATCTTTACAGGATTTGCTGTATTAATAAACGGTAGCCCAACTGACAGTTTGAAATTTAAGAAATGAAAGGTCAGAATATTTAGTCCCTTACTTCGTAAAAAAAAAAAACTTCAAATTTATAATGAATCCCTTGCCTCTTAATTTATGAAATTGAAGTTGAGAAGATTCAAGGATTCAATATAATTAATTCCAAGAGCCCTGGCACAACTATTTTTTTCAGAGTCTGGCAAAAAAAGTTAAAAGCTTTAGTTTGGAAGAGCTGGAGCGATATGCAAAATTCAGGAATCAACACATCCCTTGACGTGTACATTTCCTGTCATATGTGATTCAAACTTTCACAAAGCAAATATCTGTTTTTACATCTCCCATTACGAGCCATACGTCCCCGTTAGTTCTGCATATCTGTGCTCAATACAGCAGAATGATATTTGAAAATAGAAACTGAGCCATACGTCCCCGTTAGTTCTGCATATCTGTGCTCAATACAGCAGAATGATATTTGAAAATAGAAACTATGTTACTCAACTCTTGTTTCCTCATTTTGACCATTAAAGAAATTTGTCTTATTTAAAAACACACGACCTCAGAGCAAATAAAAAAGTCCAACTTTCCATTAACTAGTGTGTGAAGTATTACTAAGTGATGAATTAACTCCAATAATTAGCAAATGTATACAATGCAGCAAAATCGGTCCTGTGAAACGATGAAACAAGTACAAACCAGAAATCAGAATAAATTCTGATCAGAAATTCACTGAATTGCAGCATCCTAAACGCAACACGTTCAAGAACTGTAATACACTTGATAATGCTGAAACTGGGACAATTACATGATAAAAGTCACAATTTCGAAAAACAAAAGTTCCGGATTTCAAAACTATTCCTTGTTGTCACTGAAAGCATCGTCAGAACTTTTCATTAAAAATAACGGAAAAGCCATGTCTCAAACCGCTAAGCATTAGGACTTCCCGTTTTGGGTTGCCAGCTATCAACTCCCGCCTATTACTTTTTTATGGAACACCTGATTTTTTCCCCCGATACCATTCAGCCGTGTGCGGCATGCGTCCGTTGTTGGATATCATTTTCAAAAAAACTTGAGATTTTTCTGTGGTTCTTGCATGGACAATGCGTTAAAATAATATTATAGTTATAACAATAAAAACAAATACAAAAAACATATGTTAAAGGAAGGAAAACAAGACCAAACAAATCGGATTATTTAAAGCTTATCAGATAGATGAAACACTCTCATTGTCGTCGAATTCTCTGAGATCCATTTCTATTGCAGTCGCCTGCAGCTGATCTAGTCCGGAAACTAATTCCAAATAAAGCGGACTATTGAAAACCTTTAGCAAGAACTGAAAACCATCCGAGCGATATGCAGCCTGCACAGCGGCCCCACAAGCGACACACCGCTCAAAACGCCTGACTGCCGGGGTCATCTGCAAACAGTTTTCACTACAGATTAGAAATCCATGATATAAACTGAAGACTAAGTCACTGAAAGCATCACCAGCAGCCTTGCCATGAAATGTTTCACCTGCGTGAATCTTGAGAGAAAAGATCTGATCTGATGTGGTGTTGCGCCAAGAACAGTTGTTGACTCGTCATTTTCCCCAAGACGAGCAGGAGAGCCTCCCATCTTAGGATGCTGGACAACCGCTGCAAGTAATTCAACCGCTGCACCACAAGCAGCTGGAGATATACCTGGCCGACTAACCTGAAGGATAAATTATAGGAAAATCAGAGCAAATAATTCACTCCGGATACTTTTCTAAGAACATATTATTTTGAAAAACTAAATTGGATTTTTAAGTCTGATTAACTAAAATTCATTCAGTATTGACTAATGGTTAATGAAAATAATCAAAATGCTTACCGTGCATTGCTGGTCCATGGTTCTGTCAACAGAAGAATTACCGGGTGCCGTAACATCACTGCAAAAGTAACAACCTAACTGCGAACCAGGGATAATGTTGAGATTACTAAGTGACTGTTCGGAATCTTCGTTGGTTTCATCATTAGAAACACCATGACGTATTACAACAAAACAATCGAAACCAAGCGCAACGCTAATTGCCAACTAAAACCATCAGTTACAAACAGAATAATTTTAAATTACCAGGTTAGAAGTTTGGAAACAAATTTAACACAACATAACCAAAAAATCCGAATGAGTAAAATATGAAGTCGAAAGGAACAAACCTTGCAATGGAAAGTTGTTATAAGTGTTGGCAACCACCTTGCTTCTCTGCTGTCAAGCAACAGAAATGTTACATCATGATGCTTCACCAGATCTTCCAACTGTTTCACGGTTTCCTCAACTTCTTTCTCCTCTGTAACGAAAATAAGACAATTACAGCGAAGTAATGATGATGTAAAATATATATTTAATTCATCATGTAATCCCGCAGCCTCAAAAAACGAACCTTGTTCTGAGACACTATGGCCTGGCATCGGTATTTTCATGCAGACGCCTTCAGCATTTATTAATGGATTTATTTTACGGAGGCCTTCTGCGGCTGTAACAGCTTTTAATTTCCCTCCATTTGCAGCATCGTCGAAAGCAAACAGCGACTGTCTGGAAAAATTATGCTGATTCAAATACACATACATCACTAACTTCGAATGAAAGCTATATGCGTACATTTAATTCCACGCCATTAAGGTCTAATTTAAACATCAGTGATTTTCCCATCCAAATATTCCATAAAGGCTTGCAGTCAGGTAAGTTGAAATCAAAAAGATAACAAACCTTACGACATTGCTGTAGGATATGCGAGCATTATCAACGAATGTGAAATTTTTGACACCCCAGCCAAGAAGTGAACGCGCCACATTACAACCCAGGGTACCAGCACCCAAGATCAAGCATTTCAAATTGGCAAAACGCTGAAGATTGATATTAGGTACCAAACGCCATCGGATTAGACGCAAATTCAATTCAGAGCTAAAGTCCATTAGTCTAAAATGAGAAAAAGTTGTCCAAAGTACCCCACTAATCAAATACAATCATTGTTAAGGAAACTAAAAATTCAACGGTAAGGGACTGAAATTATCTCTTGTATTTTTTATGTACCTTTCTTTCTCTGATCATACATTCCGTTTATTTATTTCTAATTAGAAGTGTTTGTTTAAATTTACTCCCACTACTTCCAATAATCAACTTTTTTTAAGACATTAAAAAAAAGAAAAGGAAAATGCAAAAAGTAAATGCATCCAAACGGTAAGGAAAAACGTACGGGTGAATGTAAATATATTCGCAAATACAACTTTTAGTCATCCAGAGATAGATACTTTTACACTTCCTTAATTTCCTCACAAATCAAGCTAATACATCCGTCTATTGGGTGAATTAAACAATATTGTTCAAGATTACCATGAATTTCTATCAGATTTTCTTTTAAATGCAAAATCTTAATATAAAAAAAAAATCACGATTACTTTAGCGGATCTAGACTTCCACGCAGATCGATAAATGTAGGAGAGAGCGAACCTCTCACTCTTTCCCACCCTACTGCGGCAGTGCTTAGAATACCATCTGTTTTCCAACCAAGATGTATAATAACACTGGGAACACCACCACTTCGATAACAGACGAACTTGGCATTCTGCAGATCCTTTCTGAAAAGAAAAATAACTCCAAGTTACAGAAGATAAAAAATAATTCTAGAATTTTTTTTTGCGAAATTGATTAATTCTACATACCGAACGTAAGCTATCGCTGCTAACAGATTCCTCAAAGGCCATCCAGGAAAACCTGTCAGGGTAGATGGATCTGCATAAACAATATGGACATCATTGCTCCACACGAAAGTATTTAAAAGTATTGAAGACAAGGGAGTCGGCGTCTTACCGACCAACAAAAACGGTTCATTATGATGTAATGCAATGAAAACTTGAATCAAAGACGTCATTTCGGTAGAAAGATGTGTGGGATCTGATAACATCCTCACTGATTGAGGATAAAGGAGTGCAGGAATACAGTTCCAATACCGGAAGGTGTATTTTTTCAGATCCTGCAAAGGAATTAGGAAGATTACAGTAATAAGTTAAACTACCCCATGAATGGGATTCCTTACACCTCGAAATATTTCCCGAAAACACTAGATATGAAGGAAAAAAAATGAAAAGCAAAAATAGCGAACCGGATAAACTGTAAGGTAAAATGTATTCAATAACGACGGCTTTTTAAGCCAATCCAACGACTCGATGCATTTTTTCACCTGCATATATGAATTTGCAAAATATGAGTCAGAACTATATTGGAAATCTTATATTTGAAATAATTTCAATTTGCTAAATAACGAAGGCATTACCAGCGTGTAAAATTAACTAAATGAAGGGAGAACTTGGAGAAAAGCTAAGCCTGAGCAAGATTGAATTAGATGTGTAAATACAGTGGGAACTGAACCTGCTAAAAGGGTCAATATATGTCCAAACTGATGACTGAAGTGATTGTCCTGTAAAAGTTAAACAAAAAACACATCTGGAATAAAAAAAAGCCGACCTTTTGAGCAGTACTACACAAGATCTGTTTCCTGTCAAGATTTTTGAATGATTCATGAGTATTTACAGCAAGCACTGATCCATTCACAGGAACTACATTTTTGTTCCATTCTGATTTTACCAAAAATGCATCAAATGATATGGATAACCTTGTATTTGATGTCCCAGGATCTTCTGTAACATTGATTATTGTATTTACTATTGGATCTGAGCAAACAAAAACGTGTTACTTTCACTCAAACTTCAATAAATCAGAGAGTGAATGCTGAAAACTTGTTTCTGAAAAAGAGTAAAGATATAAATTACAGCAGCTAAAAAAGTTGTTCCTTAACCTTCGGTATACTTTTATATATGTAACATTGCAGTATTAATGCTGACGTATCATTAGGCCTCATACATGCGGAAGAATATTACAGCAGTACAAGTAACTCTAACTGGAACACATGAAAAATTATGCTTAAGTTATTTGTAGATTAGTATTTCATTACATGACAATAAATGAATCTCACAAAACAGTACAGAAAACTAATCCCCAATTTCAGCCATATTCAGCAAAATGTTTAAGGTGATGACAGTAACAAGACGCAACTTGCTCTCGGACTAAATATGAAATATCAAGCACTCCTAGATAAATATATGAATTAAATCAGTGCTACTGTTTGAAAATAAACAATGGTTCCGCATAGAACTCGGCCAGTAATCTTTTCACACGGCAACGGTCAATGCCGCTGCAGACTATTTTGTTCAGGAAATTTGCACTAAAACCATTAAAAGGCTGCTAGAAACTCCCCAAGCTCATTGATTCTGCATAAGACAACTGTTTACAAAAATTTCCTTTGAAATGGAATTAAACCCAAAGGAAAATCTATTACGGTTGCAATATGTAGCAGTGATCGAATGAGGTTGCTCGTCCAATTTCCAATCATTCAATTTTCGCATGCCCAATTCGTCCCAAAACAACGGGTCAACGAAAGTCGTGAAGGAAACAAATTTCACCATCATTGTCCAGCAACAACACCTCAGTTTGCTATCAACAAGTAATCGCTATTAACAAAGTCGCTATCAACTTGAGTAATCGCTATCAACAAGTAGACGTCCAGCCAATGCAATCCGAATTTTCAATTTTCCCAAATCCTACAAACAAGCTCAATTCACCAACAAAAATATGGAATTTCAACTCTAATATGGACCTTACACTGCTGCTAATAGTACAGCATCCCTTTACCTAGTCCGTAACAACTACGCAATGAATTCGCGAAAATTTTTAAAGTGTGAGAGCACGCGAACCTTTTGAGATTCTTCGGCAAATTATCCATGAATCCTTTCGTCACCATCTACAAATTTAATGTAAAGCAAGCTGTAAAGATAGTCCCGAAAACGGATAAAGATTGAAGAGCTCGGCGTTTACTCATCCATTTTATTCATGTTTGCTTGTGCTCATTTGCTCATTTCACATTCGTTTACTTATATACATATTTAAAAAAGAATATACTAAATTCGAGGAAATAAACCAACAAAAGAGGGAATTCGAAAGCAAGAAATTTCAAAGCACTCTTTATGATTACAAGAAACAGAATAATTTAAGGGACAAACTTTGCAAGAAAAGTATACGCACAATAATTAGAATCAATGAATTTCTGAGCTTCAAGTACAATTATATATTTGATAAAGCAAGAAATAATACAGTAACAAGGGATGAAAATGTACAAGAAATCTCTTAGGAAAAAAGGCGTGATGTTCTTTCATGTACACAAAATAAACACATTTATATAAATTCATGAGTTAGTTAACGAAAAATGTTCATCTGTTTTCTGTTACTAGGTATATGATTTGGAAGTTTATAAAAATGAAATTAGTATGCATAATATACTCATTTCTTGAACAAAGAGACCGATATATCTCAGATATTTCCCAATTCAAAACGCAAAATCTTGCATACTAGTATGACAACAACGGACAAAAACGATACGATAGCACATAATTTCTTCTTTCAAAATAGGGTGGGAAAAGAGCGATTCAGGAAACCTCAGACAGACTAGACATATGTATTGTTCGAAAGGAAAGTTGAAACTCCAACATGAAATTAATAAAATTTACAAAATTTAGGATATCGGCATGACTAATAATTGATCGATAAAAATTTATGATCATTTCGGCACCTCAGCAAGCTGATTTTGGATACTAAACAAAATTTGTATTGAATTGATTGGCATCTTCATAAAAATGTCGAAACAAAATTGAAGGTGCACCACTTGCAGTTACCCAATCTCTGACAAGGCAACGAACTGAAGATATTCCAGTGAGGCTCTTTTAATAGATTCTGACAACATTTTTCCATTGGCAGCCACTGTTTTACAATATCAAGCACTAAAAGCAATTCATGCGGATGAAAGATGAAACAGAGCCGATCGAAATAATAATAAATCTCTAGATAAAGGAGAAAAAATTAAAGTAAACGAACGTTGTAATTTTTGCTTGGTCGTACAGCTTGAGCTGATGAAGGTAATGTGCGTATTCGTGGAACTTCATGATGCACATCATGTTCTTCAGCTGACAGATTTACTTCGTTTATGTGCCTAAAAAATAATTCCTACAAAGAGAGGAAAAAAAAAAACAAACAATCTATCACAATAAAGCATACTGAAGAAATTTTAAAATATGCGAAACAATTTGACCATAGATTATTTGTTATAAACGCAACTCACAAGAAATCACATAGCAGCTGCGCATATCAATTCCTATTAGAAAATCAGAAGACTTGAAACCTTCAAAACAAACTGCTAGAAAATGATTGAAAAATTAACTTAAAAAACGAGAAAAGAAGGAAACGTTTACGTGCTTCGATTTTGTATGCTTTCTTTTTCGGCTTCTTGTATGGAGAGAGCCAACAAGTAACTAAAAAAAGTTATTTTTAGAATTGTTGAAATAGGTTAGGGACAGAAATGAACAATGAGTTTAAGCTTTAAAGATAGTCTTGAAGACTCAGAAAGTTCAGATCATGCTCTAATACATTTGCGATACGGTGACTGCTAAAAAACATTTGAAATGAACAGGATATAAATTATTCTAATTTACATTAGTCAAATAAATTTTTAATTAATCAGCAAATATTGCTAAAAATGTTTGTAGGATGAGTATTGCACTATTTAACACAGAAATTAAACAGGATGGAATCTTAGGCACTAAAGAAGGAAACTATTGTCTAAATTAAAAATCTGATCTTACTCAGTACTCTCGTTAGCAAGGATGCTCGATGTGCTGAAAACTGCATTGACGAAGGTAGAGTTCCCATCAACACAATCCAATGTTTCCCACACAACCGCAGATTCTCCGAGAAATCCCATATCAGTAACTAGAACATAAAGTGCGTCCTGAAAATACAATATTCCATAAGATTTATGTTGCAAAAATTAACAAACAAAGAATGAGGTTAAATAATAGTTACATAATACTTTCAAAAGTATATAACTTCAAAACACACGAATGTCATTGACCTTTTGTTTTGCTAGTGTTTGGAAATGATTATTTCGGAAAAGCACAGCGATTTCACCATCGTTAAGATTTGATAGAAGTTCGGCAATCCCCTGTGTTGTCAGTTGAGATGCACTCGAATCTAGGAAATTTCTCAGCATATAATTTTCGGGTTCATTATTCGTACTAACAATTTTTTCCACTATCCGATTGTAACTTAATCCATCCACCACTTTCACTGAAAAAACGGAGATTTTTTTCAAACCAAAATAACAGGCAGTTGTAAAATATAGTGATAAAAGAGATCAAATGACAACTTGCAATCAAGTGACAGTTATAACAACACTTACCCCCATTTCTTAACTAAGCAAAAACAACCAACAAAACCTACCATTCATCATGACTATCTTTTATGCACGATTCCACTTATCAATTAATTCTCTAGTTTTGCAACCTAATTCTTTAGTTCGTCACAAAAAAATGTTTCATCAAATATAAATGCTGTTGAAGAGATAACTGGCAATAGATATTACATGAAACAACAAAGACTGTAACAGTTTCTGCAGTTTGTCCTCAATAGTGATTTCAGCATAGTTTAGCATGGAAAGAGAGTTCTTCTAATTCTGTGGGAGGAAATTTCTAAAAACAGATAAGTTAACATACATAATTCCTCATCACCCTGGTCGATAATCCAACCGTGCACTAATGGTATATTCAGAATATCAAACAATGCACATGCTGGAGTGTATTCAAATGTCTTTACTCTGCAAAATGTCAGATTACTAGGTATTCGGTGGATTTCTCCTACAAATCATCGAGGTGGCAAAAATTCACAGAGTGAAAATGTTCAATGTAAAACTGCGAAATAAAAGCAGGCAACATACCCAGTAAAATGAATATTCACATCGAGGCCCTTAGGTAAAGAAGGTATCAAAGCCAGTACATCTGATACATTCTGCTCATAATTTGGTAATTCGGCTTCATCGATGTCCTGCAACAGAACACAAAGACTCATTTTGTTGACTGCTAGAAATAATGATGCCGACGTTACAGTACGAAAGAATTTATGCACAAAAATTTCGAAATTCCTCAATGTTCAGAAGCAATTTATCACAGCCGATGTTAAGACGTTCATATAATAAAGAACCGCTTCATCAGATAAATAGGTATCACATACTACAACATTAATACTTTAAATGCAAAATCTTTATATGAAGCAACATAAAGTCGTTTAATTGCTAACTATGGGTTTGAGACGAAGTATGCAATCTGCAACGAACTGCAGTAATTTCTTTTCACTGACTTCTGTAGAACCACATGGTAAGGTAATCTGCCCTGCAAATATTTGGGAGTGCCGACAACATTTTACGTAATTGAGCAGAATCCACTTTTTTTTCATAGTGACGAAATGATGGACTAGTTTTCATGCCTTTCCTCATTCTAATTACTAAATTAGGAACCAACTACAACTGGAACTACAAGTTTTATAAAAACTATGAAGTAATAAAATATTACCTCGCAAAAGAAGCACGTTGATAACGGCCAGCAACGGACACGGCCCATTTTCGTTTTGCATCACAACTGCATATTCAACACCCTCCACATCCACCCACTTAATCTGGACAGCGAAATTTTAATGGCATGCTCTGATATATAAAATCAAGATCACCAAGACCCTCAGGAAATACTTTTACACCTCGTCGTCTATAATATCCCATTTGGGCTTTATCCAAAACGCATATCTACGCTTTCTACGACAAAATACCCGACAAAGTCTTCTTCGCAATCTCAGTAGTACAGTCATCAAGTAACTTCCAAACCATCTTTTTGTTAAAGAATTCCGGAGAATTTACATAATAAACACATGATTGACTTTCGACTGCTTGTTCGTCGGCTTCTGAAGCGTTTTCAGTTTTTTCTGCCATAATGCGAACATCGACGATGTGTCTCTTAATGCGAGCGACGTTACGGAATACGAATATAAGAAAGCTACACTTCTGAAGCTGATGAAAATGTTATGGGAGCTTTCCAGTTTTCGATGCATATCCTTGTATTCCCCACATACATTTTGTATCCTTGATACTTTCTTATCATTACATATTGTCCAACTATTCTTGTTCTTAATGTTCAATTGTGTAGATGTTCCTAATTACATCACTTAATTGTACAATGATCTCGAACCGTTTCTGCTGCTCAGAATTGGTTTTTGTGTTGTATGATCATATT